GGAGTTATATTTTCAAAGATATTTTGCACGGTGGACATAAACACAATTAGGTGTCTGTAGTGCCTGTACGAAAGCGTTTAAACTGTCAAAGGCACTATGTTTTCCTTTATGGCTGCCTTTATAAAGAACATTCAACTCGAAATTTTCCCCCACCACCAGTGTGACTCCGCAAACATTTGTTTTGTAAGTGGACCAGGTGGCTGATTCTTGCAGCTCGCTTACGTAGTTCTACTGTACAGCATGCACGGGTGCGGGTGGGTTTGACTATCCTCGCTGCCCGCGGGTCCTTAAGGCCCCATGGGAGTAGCCATCAGCCCGCCCGCGTGCATGCATTAGGGTGCGGCTTAAAATACGGATCCCGATTTTCCAACTTGCATCACGGCTTTTTCCTGTCCTTTTGAGGTCTAGAACCCAGAAAAAAATCCCGCGGCTGTGGCACAAGCCTTTCCCTGCCGCATCTTACGTGTAAATTTACATGTAATTCTTAAGGGGAAAAAGCCTTAAAATTGAAATTTGCATCGTGTGAGCCCCCACTGCATTATTATTATTTTTTTTCGACTGGGTTATAGAACTCAGAAAAGGAAAAAGCCCTGATGCAAGTTAGAAAATCGGGATCCGTATTTTAAGCCGCACCCTAGCATGCATGCAGTACAATGCAACCACAAAAGAGCGCAGCGTGAGTCATCCCCCTTAGTATTTAGATTAGATTACTCGACATCTTTCCTGAAAGGCATAAAAAGATAAGGGAGGCGATGGAGTATGGGGGTGGATTTGCTCACGCGGCATTGTAAAAGGCAACTTTAAAGAACGGGTGCGCCAAGAGTGCCACGCTGTGGCTATCATCATGCGAATATTGCCATGACCGGATATTTTCAATACTCTCCATATGCGAGAAGAAGCATCGCTGTGTGAGCAAAAAATGGGAAAATGTAGCATAGAGTACGTTTGCTACGCGTTATGCCATTTTCGTATATTGCTTCGATGCATGCGGGGACCGCAATCTTGCTCGCTATTCCAGGAAGGCTGGCTGGCGTGGCTCTGCTGCCTCCGGAGATCAATGGACTGGAGGATTAACTCTTCACAGATAATCTCCGTGTTTGGAATCCGCGCGCTGCTCGACTTCTCTTTCGTCCGGAAATCTCAACGCACGCGATCTATCAGGGTCATAATAGAGGTAGGCGCCGGCATTCCCGTTCCCGCCTATTTCGGGTTGGGGAAGGCGCGAGCAAACTAGAAACCCACCCGGACCTTTTTGGGAAGGAGGGATGGGCTATTAGGCGGGGGCTGCGGCCGTGCTTAGACAATTAGACACCAATGCACACTTACACGATCGACCGGAAAGTGCGTATGTCATTCCCCGTTACGAACCGGACGAGTTCAGCCTGTGTCAGCTCTCACGGCGCCTGATGGGTAGGCAACCTCTCGCCTTTAGTGCATGCGTGTACTGCCGGATGGCCTACCCCGAGCCTCGCAGGCGCCCAGCTCCCCTAATGTGACAAACGAATCTGACAGGGGGGAAGAAAAAGAAAGGTCGTACTTTCTGGCCGATCCCCTATTTGGTAAACAACGTCGCAAGCGGCGCGCGGCCGGCCGCGAGACCCAGAGAGAGAGAGAGAGAGAGAGAGAGAGAGAGAGAGAGAGAGAGAGAGAGA